TACACAAAAAATAGATGCTTTAAATAAAATTGGTAAGGACTACGGTTTCTTCTGGTAAGTTCTATTCATGATTTGTTAAATTATATATATTTATGATTAATTGAGATAACTTAATAGGCCGAAAGAAGTTATACTTGGCGGCAAAGTTATGAAGTTTACTAACTCTAATTTGCAAATAGAACGTAGCGTGTTTGATGATGAAATTCCGCCATATGAAATGAAAAGCTATTTAAAATCATATAAAAACTGGAAAATTATTAGATATTGTAATAGAATTTCACTCTTTGAATTACTTGACGAACAACTTCAATTTAAAATAAAAGAGCTGTTTGGAATGAAAGTGCTTCATTTAGATATCTTATCTATTAGTAGTGTTATACCGGCAACAGGATTATATTTCCGTATCCCTAAACCACAAAACATTCCCTTGTTTGAGAACCATAAAATATTCGCATCAATCATAAATGAAAAAACAAGTAGCGTATTTGCAATTCGTGTTGACTATCAAAATTCAGAGACTCCGTATTTTGTAATTCATCGTCTTGATGCAGAAAAGTCTTCATCAGTCAATATTTTGATACCGTGGATGATTATCGGATATACTGATAAATTCCCGATCGAGTCATATTCTATAAATTATCCTCGTTTAAAATGTTTTGGTAGTTATAAAGATGCTAAATGCGAGAAAAAAATGACCGAGAATAGAATGATCTTTAGACTTCCAAAATTACAGTATCACGCTTTGTTAGGCACTTGTGTTTTATATTGTGAAAAGAACTCTGATTATGAGTTTGGAAGGTCGAATGCTATTTTTAGTCATCATTTTTGTTATTCGAGCAAAAAAATGATATGTTGTGTATGCAAACATTCATCAAATGTCAGCGAATTTTCTTCAAGTATAGTTGATATTGACATCAACTGTGTACATTTTGAATTTGAATCTGGAGACCAATATGATGCTGGTTATGGGCAGATCACACAAAAGTGGACAAGAAAAACACGGAAACATATCTTTACTGGGAACAAATGGGAACTGCCTAAAAATGTAAATTTTATATTTGCAAGCCTTCTTAATTTAAATTATCCAGAAGTTTATAATCCCTCGTTTCTAAATATAAATACGAAATATCAAATGATCCTAAATATTATGTTAATTATTTTATAATCTCTGATACTACTCAAAAGTTATTATTTCCTCGAACAACAATAGAAAAGACATCATATGAAGAAAAAATAGCATTAAATAACTTTGAATCATATTTAATTGGCTCTACCGATACACGTCAAACAAATTTTTCTGGTAAAACATTAAATGATAGTAGTGGCCATTTAGGTTATTCATTCCCTAAGTTTATGGTTTCGTCTAAGAGCAATACCGAAATCAATGAAGGTAAAAAATTATTATTAGGAATTCCAAATAAAAATTCTGAGGATGCCGATCAAATAAATAAAAAGCAGATTTCACTATCCATTTCTAACAAAAAATCAGCAGAACTTGAATCTCAAAGCGAAAACTCTGAGGATGCTGATCAAATCAAAAAAAGTCAAATTTTACAATCCATTTCTAATAACGAATATCAAAGCGAAAACTCTGAGGATGCTGATCAAATCAAAAAAAATCAAATCTTACAATCCATTTCTAATAATGAATCTCAAAGCGAAAACTCTGAGGATGCTGATCAAATAAAAAAAAATCAAATTTTACAATCCATTTCTAATAACAAATCAATAGAAGTTCAATCTCAAAGCCAAAATTCTGAAATTGTTGATCAAACTAATAAAACACAAAGTTCACAATTCATTTATAATAAAAGCACAATTGAATTGTACAATTTGAATTATGGATTAATTATTAATTTGCAAAATGTATATACTGCAAAATATCCTGCATTCGAGTATAAATCAGTGCCAAAAATAACTTTTAATGAAAACTGTTATGCAAAAATATTAATACCCAAGGACGAAAATGAATTATTTTTGTTAAAAAAACATATAGACGTTGAATCATTTCAAAAAAAATTACCATCCGAATTAGTTACAATAATGATGCCTCCTACGAACTTTTCAAGTGATGATTCATCCATTTATGATATTTATTTGGAAATCGTGTACCAAAAAATTGAGCTTACTTTTGAAAAAAAGCTGATGCAACCAACAGAAGAAATTAAAAAAGCAGTGATTGATGCATTGAACGAGCAATGGCCATATCGAAGTTTAATCAAACTATTCAATACGTATGGATATATTATACCTCGTAAGTTAATTTTGGGAGAAAAATTGTATAAAATGTCACGTATTTTATCTCAAAAGAAGATTAAACCTGATGATTATAAGCTTGAAAATGATGATTTATCTAATTACTCATCAAAATTAAATCAACTTTTAAATTTGTGGGAAAATGAGTATGATATTAATATCAGTTATTTTATGACAATGGATTACGATGCTATTAATAAAGAAACTATCACAAAATGGATAAATGCATGTTCTAATCATGATATCGAAGCATTAAAAATTATTAATCAAAGTGATCCTTTTCCATTATATGAAATATTTGAAGAGTCTGTTAGTGAAAAAGTCAAGTTGATATTACAAAGAGGAAACGAAAAACAAGTGCTTATGACAGGGATTGTGCAAATTCATAAAAATAATAACTATTATCGTATAAGCTTTTCTGATAAAGTAGATAGAAGCAACTATCAAATTTTTGCAAAGATTATAAGAATTGACGGAACTAATAAATCAAAAATAGATGTAATTGATGAGGCTACTATTAAAATAATGTCAACAACTAAATCAGGATTTATAGCAATAATTGAAAATCTTGATAAGTAAGTAAAAATAGCTTGAATTATATTAATCCGATAAATCTAATGTCGTTTATTTTATGTTTTTTTTCTTCCATATAAGCATCAATTCCATAGATATGCAATTAATATGGATGCTGATTGGATTACCAAATGAAATTAATTATTATAGCATTAATTCTCAAAAAATTTCTATGTTAAATTCCGGAACTGAAATGATTAAACCAAGCCAGAAAGTTATATTATTAGAGATGCCAGAAAAACCAACTCAAAATTCAACAATAATTTTATTATATGAATCTTCATTGCCAATTTGTCCAAAAAAGATGAAAAGAAATATTGAATTAAATATTGGTAGTGCATTCAACACACATAATGAATTTAAAGATAGCGAATCTGAAAACGATGATTCTGAAAATAGTGAATCTGAAAATGATGAATCTGAAAATAATGAATCTGAAAATGATGAATCTGAAAATGATGAATCTGAAAATGATGGATCTGAAAACGGTGGATGTGAAAATAATGAATCTAGAAACGATAAATCTGAGAATGATGAAAATATTGACAATGAATCTGATGATAATGAAAATGCAGAACTTGAATACCAAATAAATTATTATTTTATTTATTCTAATGAAGAATCTATAAAGGCAGACATAAAATCTGGTGAATGTGAAAATATCGAAATTCCTTTAAAAATTATAGGCTCATTAGGCTCATTAATTAACTACAGTCAACCCTCACTAAATAAAATACGTGGAAACTAGACTTTTGATAGCTTGCATTTAGAGAAAAAGAAAAATACTTTTTCAATGAGTTTAGAATATATTTGGAACAAAGTTAAAGGTTTGACTATAGATATAGATGGGTGACGAAATTATTTTCATAGTAACGAAATTGACGAAATACTGATTTCGTCAAATTTCGTCAATTAGTCACCTATTACTAACTATAGATTTACTATTATAATATTCAATTTTTATATAGTTACAAATAGTTATAACAAAGTGTATATGAAATAAATTATTAATGTACTCTATAAATATATTTTTATAAGAAAATTACTAAGTAGGGTTCTGCCAATGCCCATGCCAGGCATATTGGCACTATGCCAGGCACTAGTGCCTTATGCCATGCCTATGTCTTTAGACATAAAATACCAAGTACACTTATAGGCATGGACATTAAAGTTCCAGTATAAGTGTTTCAAAACAAGGCATTTTATGCTTATGCTTAAATAGTAATTGGCATTTTTGTGCCATATAGTGCCTAACAAAATAAGTGACATTTTTATGCCAGGCATATAATGCCCAAGGCAAAAAAATGCCAGCACTTTATTCCAATGCCTAAAAGATGCTGGCACTTTGTAATAAAGTAGAGATTACATAATAAAAATGGTTATATTAAATGGATTTGATTTAATTATTGATCATCCAAGAATTTATTTCAGTGAGTATGCAAAAATAAAAAAAAACAACTTTATAAATTTTAGTATAGTCTTCGTAATGCTTTTTGGATTTGTAAGAGTCCCATATTTTGCATAGCTTAATAGCTAGATATTCTTTCAATTATTGTGTATAAGAAGCATGGATATTTAACTTTAGACTCCTTCTGTCTATTCATTTTAACTACATAAAAATTTATAATTAAATATATCTCTATATCTGTCAACTGACTATAACCATATATTATACAGGGCAGAAGTTAATAAATAGTTAGTCACAAATTAATTAATGAATAAATTAATTTTACTTTTAAATTATAATGATTATGTTGTGCCAATATCATTGTTTTAAAAAGGGCATAATTATTAAACAATAAAAAAGATTAATTTATTTAAAATCATTAAATATTAAGTAGAGTTTAACTGTTGCTCTTCATCAATTAAGGGTAGGGGGTATGTCAATCATTTTTCATATAATCTGCATAGTATATTGAAATTTTACATAGTTTACACAAAATACGCCATTAACAAAATCCTTGAATTCGCAATTATATTTTACCAAAATCTTGTGACATATAAATCAAAACCTCTATTAATTGTGGTAAAATTTTTAAAGGCAATACTATTCTAAAAAAATATACTTATATATACTATAATGTTTTCTGAGGTTAACTCAAATTTTCTGAGGTAGTACAAAATTTGCTAATTCTAATTGGTCAAATTTATGATTTTTATAATTCTAATTGGTTAATCACATGATATCATATGATATACAATGTGATTACTATTAAAAATAATCTACATACCCTATTCTTAATTCGTTAAAATTATTTTTAAGCAGAGTTTAACTGTTATCTTTCATTAAATCATTAAATATTAAACAGAGTTTAACTGTTACTCTATATCCAAATCTCTAGTAAAATTTTTTATTTTGCAAACAATAAATCAATACATCTCTAAAACTTTGTTGATTATAAGTTAACATATATAAAGTATTTATTAAATAATTAGAATAGCTGCATAATGCATAACACTATGCAGGACCAGTACAATAATGTATAATATGTAAATTCAAACTATTTAAAAGTTATTAATAAAGGATTTTAATACAGTCAAACCTGTCTAAATAAATATGGTCGGTGAACCAATTTTGTATTCATTTAGACAGGATATTCATTTACAAAAAATTAAATTATATAAAAATCTTAATAAGATTATTA